CCTGGCTCTGCACTCAGGAATCACTCCTGGCGGTGCTTCGGGGACCATATGGGATAGTGAGGGTTGAACCCAGGTCGGCTGCATGCAAGGCAAACACCCTACCTGCTGTTCTGTCGCTCTGGCCCCGGTCTTTAATTTAATGGAATACTGAATGCACTTAGAAAATCCCCCAGGTTGGGTGAGCAGAGAGGGATCCAAGGGCTGTGCTGCTCATGCTCAGCATGCAGGAACCGGGTCTGGTCCCCAGAGCCACAAGGGGCCCCAAGCACATCGCCAGGATTAGCCCCCAGCATCATCCAGTGTGCCTCAAAAAAAAAAAAGTTAAATAAAACCAAGATACACACACACACACACACACACACACACACACACACACACACACAACAAAAAACCTCCCAAGCTTGGAAGGAATTGATCTATGAAGTGGGAGAAATTGTAAAGAGAGCTCGCGAGCCCTCTTGAATTGTCGTGAGGGTAATGTCTCTCCGCAGGGCCTGTGTTCCTGCTGATCCCGGGATAAGCCCCTGCTCATTTCGGCTCTGAATAGAAACCTGAAGCTGGGAAGCGAGGAGCGGCCAGGTTTTAGGTTAGATTACCATGAAATCCTCTTGTAAGGGGAATCTCACTTTGGGCCAAAGACTTCCTGGAATGGTTGAGTGAAGTGTAACTTTCCCAGGCGGCTCTTTTGAGTTATGAATTGAGCTGAGTGACCCCGAACGGTAGAGAAACATGTACACTTTGCGTTTGGTTGTAAACCGAAAAACAGTGACTTGGTAACTTTTTTTTTTTTTTTTTTGGTTTTGGGGCCACACTTAGTTGGCACTGCTCAAGGGCTATTCCTGGCTCTGCACTCAGGAATCACTCCTGGCAGTGCCCTGGGCACCTTGTGGGACGGTGTGGGTGCTGGGGATGGAATGCAGCTCGGCCGTGTGCAGGGCAGTCCTGATTTGGTAACTTCAGTGCTTATACAGAGGTTTGTCTTTCTTTGCATTTCTAGAACTGTCTTATCTTTAATGGTCTGTGTATTGAGTGTTCTAGAGATCACTTATCTTGATGTATATGAAGTGGTGATTTGCTTGGGGTTTGACTTTATTTGGCTTTTTGTTTGGGGCTGGAGCGATAGCACAGGGGTAGGGCGTTCGCCTTACAAGCGGCCAACATGGCCGACCCGAGTTCGATTCCTCTGCCCCTCTCGGAGAGCCCGGCAAGTTACCGAGAGTATTCGATATGCCAGACACAGTAACAACAAAGTCTCCAATGGAGACGTTACTGGGCCCGCTCGAGCAAATCGACGATCAACGGGAGGGCCTTTACCTTTACCTTTACCTTTGTTTGGGGGTCACACCCGGCTGAGCTCAGGACTTACTCCTGGCTCTGCTCTCAAGGATCACTCCTGGCAGGGTTTTGCCCTACTCACTCTACTATCTGCTTCAGCCCTGGTTGTTTCTTTATTTGTTTGGGGGAGGGGCACACCACCCCTGGTGATGCTCAGGGTTTACTCCTGACTCAGCATTCAGGAATCACTCACTCCTTGCAGTGTTCAGGGGACCATATAGGATGCTGGGGATTGAACCCAGGTCAGCTATGTGCAAGGCAAACATCCTACCCACTGTACTATCACTCTGGCCCTAGTAACCACAGTCTTATCAGGATAATGCACCAAGAAAGATAGCAAACATTCCCTTAGAGAGGAAGAACCAGGAGATGTGTCTAGGATAGTATGGTTTCAACTGCCAGTGCTTGTTGCAGAAATTTCCTGTTGGTTCAAGAAACATGCTATTGACACTTAACTGATGGTGGTTTTTAACTGCTGATCTTTGACTCAGTGCCAATGTGCAGGTTTAAAAAAAAAAAAGTTGAGGGGCTGGAGCAATAGTACAGCGTGTAAGGTGTTTGCCTTGTACACAGCTGACCTGGGTTCAATTCCCAGCATCCCATATGGTCCCCTGAGCACCACCAGGAGTGATTCCTGAGTGCAAAGCCAGGAGTAACTCCTGTCACATTTGCCGGGTGTGACCCAAAAAGCCAAAAATAAATAAATAATTTTTTTAATTTGAAAAATATATATATATTAAAAAATGGGGCTAGAGATAGTACACAGGTAAGGTGCTTGCCTTGCATAAAAGGTTGCAAAATGGGGCCAGGGAGATAATACAGCAGGTAAGGCGTGTGCCTCGCGCATAGTCAACCTGGGTTCCTCCCCTGCGCACTGCCAGGAGGGATCTCTGAGTGCGGAGCCTGGGGTAAACCAAGTGTAGCTCCCAAAGTGACTGGTCTCGCATGAAGTTAATCCAGGAGAGAGCGCGAGCGAGCACCAGAGAATTCAGGGGACAGGTCCTGTTGGGCAGCTTAGTCCTTGCTCTCTCTCTGCTGCGGGACGGTTGGAAGACTCAGCTTCCCCTGTGTATGGGGGTGCTCTCTCTCGGGATGGGGTAGCAAGTGGTGGCCCACAGGAATTCCGCGGCCACGTGCATGCTCTGGCAGCAGTGCCACCGCTTTGGGTTCCCCTATGGAGAACAGGGTAGAACAGAGCTTTCCCTGCAGGCGAGTCTTAGAGGCAGTGAGGAAGCAGCAGGTGATCCACACTGGGAGGTGGGGAATGGGGAGGGGAGGAGGGAAGGAGATGGGGGGACAGGGATAAAGAGGTGAGGCGGGAAGGGAAGACACATTTGAGGAGATCCAGGGACAGGAGCCCACCGATTAGCAAGCAGAGCCTTTTAAGCCAGGACAAGAGGGTCTTTTAAACATGCCAGCCTCCTTTTTGAAACTCCTTTTTTATGGGGAGAAAAAAAAGTTTTTTTTTTCTTTTAGAATTCTCAAATTTTTATGTTGATTATTGGTTTACAGTATAATGAAATTTCACACCTCAGTAGGTGCATAATTCTTGCCACTCCCACCACCTTTCCGGGACCATCCCCCCTCCAAAAAGACTCTTCTTCTCATCCTTCCCATTTCCCTTCCCTTTTTTCCCCTATAACCACTTTCTATGGTTTCGCCCTGTGAAGGAATTGCTTAATTACTTATAACCAGTTCATTTATTTTAGTTATAGTCCATGTATGAGTGAATCTATCTGGTAGCTGTCTGGGGACGGGTTTGTTTTGTTTTGGGGAGGCCACACCCGGCAGTGCTCCGAGGTTTTGCACTCAGAAATCACTCCTGGTGGTTTGGTGGACCGTATGGGATGCTGAGGATAGAACCCCTGTTAACCACATGCCAGGCAAGCACCTTCCCTCTGTTATAGCTCTCTGGCCTTGGTAGCTGTTTGTTACTTCCTGGGGTTTTTTTGTTTGTTTGTTTTGATTTGGTTTTTTCGTTTTTGTTTTTTAAACACAATCACCTCTCGTTCCATCTGCTTTGTCCTGAAAAAGCACAATTTCATCTTTCATAGTAGTAATGTAGTATTCCACTGAGATCTTACACTTTACTTAGCCAAATCTGTTGGTGAGCATTTAGGTTGATCCGTAGTTTGGCCATTGTGGATACACTGATGTGAACATAAGGGTACAGAAATGCTTTTTAATTCATACCTTGCGTTCTTTGGATAAAGGCTTAATAGGGACATTACTGAAACGTGTAGAATTTCCTTTCCCGCCATTAAAGCATCTCCACACTGTGAAACTGTGTGTGTGTGTGTGTGTGTGTGTGTGTTTGGATCTGTAAACTTCGTAAGTGCCCTTACAGTTTGAAATTTTTGGCCTTGAAACTGCAATTCTAATCATAGCCACTATGTGGTGCTCATGCACCAGAAATAAATTCTAAAGCGCACCAGTTGCAAGAAGACTGAAAAACATTGTGATTTGGGGGTCGAGATTCAAGTCCAGAACCACAAAATACAGGGACAGCAGAACCTGGGCATTTACTATACAAAGATTAATTTGAGTTTCTCTTAAGTAGCAACCTCTAGTGCCACTGGATCCAATCGACTCACTGATTTCCTAAATTCTAGACTCTTACCAGGATCTAGAGCACTTAGGAGTGTCCTGTGACTCACAAAGGAAGATGCCAAGGAGTTTGGGCTAAGCCATTAAACAGCTGCAGAGAGAAGCCACTCTCTTGGTGGCATTTAAAAACGGCCTCGAAGGCCTGGAGTGATAGTACAGCGGGTAGGGCGTTTGCCTTGCACACGGCCAACCCGGGTTCGATCCCCAGCATCCCATATGGTCCTCCAAGCACCATCAGGAGTAATTCCTGAGTGCAGAGCCAGGGGTAACCCCTGAGCATTGCCAGGTGTGACCGCCCCCCCACCACCAAATTTTTTTTTTTAGTAAATAAATAAAAACGGCCTCAAGAAGAGAACCACCTGCATGGTATTAAAGGATAGAGCTGGGAAGGTGGCACCAAGGACCAGAGCAGGTACTCTGCGTGCAGGAGCCCTGGGGCCTCTCTGACCTCAGCACTTCATGGGCTTCCAGAGCAGTAAGCCAGGAGTAGTCCCTGAACACTGCTGAGTACAGGGTTGGTTTGTTTTATAATGATGTGAAATAAATATTCTAGAAGGAAAGATCGATAGGCACTCAAAGCTGCTCTATTCCCCTTCTCAGTTTGTTGGCAATTAAAATCATATTGAAGGCTGAAGAGGCAGCGCAGGGATTAAGGTGCTTGCCTTGCTGTTTCGCAGCCGACGGGTTCAAGCCCTGGCACCCCACATCGTCCCTTGAGCCAGGAGTAAGTCCTGAGCACCACTGGGCGAGCACACAGCCCAAAATTCATTTTATTTTGGGATAACCAAAATATATAACTAATAAGTAAAAATAAAATTGTATGGATTTATCATCAGTTTCAGGAGTAGAGGTTTTTATCCTGTTTTTCTCCTTTGAGGCCTGTCATTTATAGACCCATTTTAAAATCGGCTCTTTCTCCTTCTGCTTTAAAACAACATTTCATTTAACTGCAAGGCTTATGAGGCTCCCATACTAACACGTTTTGGGGATCCCTTCGGTGACGTGGGTGTTCGAACCTCCGCCCCGGCTAACCGTCAGCGCCTTTCCTCTCCTCACAGGTCTTCATCTCTGTGAACTGCCTGAGCACGGATTTCTCCTCCCAGAAGGGTGTGAAAGGCTTGCCTCTGAATATCCAGATCGACACCTATAGCTATAACAACCGCAGCAACAAGCCCGTGCACCGGGCCTACTGCCAGATAAAAGTCTTCTGTGACAAGGTAAGGCTTGCGGGGACACCTAGGGTAAAGCAGGTGAGAGGGCTGTCTCCTTGCCAGAGAAGACCACCGTCCATCTGGACACTCCGTTGAGTCTGAAGGTCGCACTGATGGCCTGGTCTCACCTTCTGCCTGTCGCTCATCTGTCCACTGATGGGAAGACGTGGTCCGAAGTCCCGGGCAGCACGCCTCGTGTGCAGGGCGGAGCCAGTCACAGCTTGTTTCATTTCTCAGATGTCAGATCTCTAGGGTGGAAAAGGAAAATGACTTAGAGCCACGGTGAGAAAATGGAGGCTCTGCGTGTGCTCGGGCTGGGAGTGGCGTATTAGTAGCCACCGAAACACCCCTAGACTGAGCTGGGCCAGAGGGCTCAGAGTTCAGACTCAGTGATGTGGTGGTCCAGGCTCTGTGGAGTACCAGGGATCGAATCCTGGTCTCTGCACATACAGAGCGTATGCCCCCCCCCTTCCCCACCGATCACTGAGCTCTTTCTCTCGCCCCCATTTCCAGCTCTTAGAGAAAGTTGCCAGGATGGTGTCATCTCTTAAAAGGACCTAGAAAGGCAAATGTTGTTGGTGTGTGTGTGTGTGTGTGTGTGTGTGTGTGTGTGTGTGTGTGTGTGTGTGTGGCGAATTTATTAATATCAGAGCTATCCTGTGAGTTGATTTTATATATATGTGTGTGTGTGTGTGTATTTATTTATTTATTGCTTTTTGGGTCACACCCAGCGATGCTCAGGGGTTACTCCTGGTTCTGCACTCAGGAATTACTCCCAGAGGTGCTTGGGGGACCATATGGGATGCCGGGGATTGAACCCGGGTTAGCTGCATGCAAGGCAAACGCCCTACCTGGTATATTATCACTCCGGCCCCTGATTTAATATTTTGTGTGAGACTCAAACACTGTGTGTGAGCTGTGTCTCACTAATTTACAAGTCCTTTCTTTTTTTTTGGGGGGGGGGGGAGTCACACCTGGCGATGCACAGGGATTGCTCCTGGCTCTGCACTCAGGAATCATTCCTGGCGGTGCTCAGGGGACCCTATGGGATGCTGGGAGTCGAACCTGGGTCAGCTGCATGCAAGACAGATGCCCTGCCTGCTGTACTATCACTTCAGCCCCAACAAGTCTTTGAATCTTTGAACCACATGAAACCCCTCTGACCTGACGCCCAGTTTTTGCCCATCCAATTAGATCTTCCACCAATTCTTAGTCTTGTGTCTGCTGCTTCTGGCCGCCTTGTGCTCCCTCATGCCTCCTTGGCTCCCTTCATAGGACTGACTCACCTATTACTGGTGCCTGTCAATTTGTTTCCTCCTGCTGGCTTTGGAACTCTCACGTTTTATGGACCAGGTCTACATTTGCAGTAAGAAAATAGAACTGAACCATCATTTGGTATCCTTATGAGGTCTTGGCATTGTTTTTTCCTCCTGAGAAGATAGTTTTGTTTTGGACTGCTTAGGTAGTCTGATTGATGGAATTTCCATTCTTTTTTTTTAATGTAGGAGTACTGCTATTTATTCAGCCACTGATTAGCTGATTGAATTGTGCATAAACTCCACCTTACTTTTTTTTTTATTTTTTTATAATTTTATGTATTGAATCACCATGAGAACAGTTACAAAGCTTTTGGGTTTAAGTCTCGGTCATACAATGAAACACCCATACTTTCACCAGTGCCCATTCTCCACCCCCAACAACCCAGTATACCCCCATCCTATACCCTCCCCCTACCTGTGGGGATGATGATTTCCATATTACTCTCTCTCTACTTTGATCACATTCAATATTTTGACACCAGACCCACCATTATTATTTGAGATTTCACCCCAACACTCAGATCTTCTGAAAAGGCAACATCAGACAATTTGCTCTCTATTGCTGGTTATAAATAACATATGATGCTGCGTGGCTGCAGTAGTGGCCGCGCAGTTTTGAAATTCCAAAATTTTAACACTTAAATCTGGAGGGATTTCTGCCAAAACCTGCTGGGTTCCGAGATTTGCTCCTGAGTCTCTGGGATCATGGCCGTTAAGCAGCTTGATCAAGAGCCAGAAAGGCCGTTCGTGGGCGATGACTTGGGGTCTCGTTGGGGTGGGGAGGACAGGACCAGCTCCACCCCCATCCCGTGAGGCCCAAAATGTCTTGTCACTGCGGGCCCAAACCTGACTGTCCAATGGCCTCTGAAGGATGGCAGCCACCAAGCCGCCTGGGGGAAGCAGGTGGAGAGACAACACCCTTTCCCCCCTGGGGTGGCCCGGCAACAGTAACCTACTGCGGGTTCCGGACGCATTTCTGCCAAAATCCGCTGGATTTTGAGATTTGTTTGAGTCTCTGGGATCATGGCCGTTAAGCAGCTTGATCAGGAGCCAGAGACGCCATTCGTGGGCGATAACTTGGGGTCTCATTGGAGTGGGGAGGACAGGACCAGCTCCACCCCCATCCTGTGAGGCCCTGCGTGTCTCGTCACTGCGGACCCAAACCTGACTGTCCAGTGACCCCTGAAGGATGGCGGCCACCGGGCCACCAGGGGGAACAGGCCAAGGCACAAACCCTATTCCCACCTGGGTTAACCCAGCACCGGTAACCTACTGCAGGAATTGGACACATTTCTGCCAAAAGCCGCTGGGTTTCGAGATTTGTTTCTGAGTCTCTGGGATCATGGCCGTTAAGCAGTTCGATCAGGAACCAGAGAGGCCATGCCTCCAATTATATAGCTGCGCCGGAGGTGGTTTGTGGATGTGTCTCCCACATACCTAACTTTTGGCTGTTTACTTTCTTGGTAAACTTTGCCCTAAGTTTTTGGGATTTGGCCGAAGGCACAGCAGCAATTTTGGGGTATCTGGAAGTCTGAAGGTGCCATCAGGCTGCTGATGCATTCGCCTCACAGGTACAGACTGCTGGCAGCACCATACCCCCCGGAATTTCCATTCTTTTAGAAAGCAGTAGCAGAGAGAACAAAATTTCAGAAAAAAGAACAGGGACAGAAATTGGATCTCTCACCAGTGAAAATTTGGTCACTCCTCTTTCTGAGCTTGTATATATATCTCTAATCCATCTCTAGTCCATTTTTCTAGAGAAAAACGTCCTTGGCATCTATTTTTTACAGATACCTTTCTTCTTTAGTGTAATATTGACTGACTGATACTGGGAACACGTCCTGGATTAAATTTTTTACCCTTGACCTATTGCAGTTGTCCAAGAAACTGCTAGAGTCAGAACAGCCAAAATTGGTTGGCTCATCACGATGTTACAGGATTGCCGTTAACATTTCTTGGAGTTTGTGTTTATTACTGAGGAATTCTTTCAGCTTCTGTGTATGTGAAAACTCTTCCCTCCCTACCCCATCCCTGCAACTTTATTTAAACACCATGGTTTACAAAGTTGAACCTGTAATGCAGTTGTTTTAGGCATTCAGTGTTCCAACACTAACCCCCCAACCCCACCACTAGTGTGACCTTCCTTCCATCAATATTCCCAGTTTCCCACCCACCCCCAAAACCTGCCTCCTTAGCAGGCACTTATCAAAAAAAAAAAAAAGCTAATGAAAGATAAATTGTGGGAATTGTTTCTTCTCACAGTGGTGTTATTAAAATCATTGAGGGTTTACTGGGGTAGTTTGTTACTAGTTGAGCCTTCTGGGGCATTTTTCACTTACTGAGCTTAGAGGGCTTCTCTGCCTCTTTCCCATCTAATTTGTGGAATTTGGACATGTCATGCAGCTATATATGTGGCCACACGCTCCAGGAGCTGTAGATCTAACATGATTCTTCAGCATGGCATCTCTGGAGATTAGTCATGAAGCTGTGAGTGTGGATGTGTCTGCTGGGGCTTCCGGTAGTACACGGGTGGGGTGGGGGAAAGCTGCCCCCACTCTGAGGAGGCCCCAGAATTTTCAGTCCCCTGTGTGTACCTGGAAGTTTTATCATCTTGGCATCTCTTCTGCGATTACTCAAAAGTATTTATTTCATCTTTTATCTTGTCATTTTTGCTGGGTATAGAACATTAAAATTCTAGTTTACTCATTTTTGGGGTTTTATTTGTTTTTGGACCACATCCTGCAGTGCTCAGGGCGTACTCCAGGCTCTGCCCAGGGGCTTAGGGAACACATAAAGTTACACACGTGCAAGGCAAGTGCCTTACCCACTGTACTATCTCTCCAGCCCTGTAGCTTACCTTTATAAAAGTCATTGTAGGGGACTGGAGTGATAGCACAGCAGGTAGGACGTTTGCCTGGCATGTGGCCAACCCGGGTTCGATTCCCAGCATCCCATAAGGTCCCCCGAGCACCACCAGGAGCAGTTCCTGAGTGTATGAGCCAGGAGTAATCCCTGTGCATTGCCGGGTATGACCCAAAAAACAAAAAAAAAGTCATTGTATGGGGCCATACCTGGCATTTCTCTCCAGGGCCACACCTGGAGTTCTGGGAAGTAAGAGCGGCATGGAGCCAAGGTTGGGCCGGGGCATGGTCATAGAGTGCTGGTGCTCAAACACCACCCCACCCCACCCCCACTCCAGAGCCTTATTCCTGCTCTGCCACTTAAGCCCCATCCCTGGCCCTTTACTTGGTTCCACCCTACCCCCAACCTTCACCTTGTCAGTACTTTAATGATGTGTATTCTGCTGTATTATCTTATTTCTGATGAGAATTCTATGCTCTTCATTATCTTTATTCTTCTGCATTTAATGTATTTGTTTTCCCTATGACTTTTTTTTTTCTTTCTGGTTTTGGGTCACAGCTGTCTGTACTCGGGACTTAATCGTGGCTCTGTGCTCAGGGATCACTCCTGGTGGGGTCAGGGGACCATTCATGGAACCCAGGTCCACTGCATGCAAGGCAAATGCCCTGCCCACTGGTGCTATCTCTCCGGCCCCATCATTCTTTTTTTTAATTTTTATTAGTGAAACACCATGAGATACAGTTGTAGACTTACAAATTTTTGTGCTTGGGTTTCAATTATACAATGATCGAGTACCCATCCCTCCACCAGTGCCCAATCTCCACCACCAATGATCCCAGTATCCCTCCCACCCCCTAACCCCCCCATCCCACCCTGTCTCTGTGGCAGGGCATTCCCTTTTGTTCTCTCTCTCCTTTTGGGTCCTGTGGTTTGCAAGAGAGGCATTGAGTGGCAATCATGTTTGGTCTATAGTCCACTTTCAGCATGCATCTCCCATCCTGGGAGGATCCTCCCAACACCCTTTATTTGGTGCTCCCTTCTCTGTCTGAGCTGCCTTTTCCCCTAGCGTGTGTGGCTGGCCTCCAAGCCATGGGGCAACCGTCATTCTCTTTTTAAAATACCAGCTAAGGTTAGAGTAAAGCGTACAATATATTGATTTTATTTTTCTTGTGGCAAGCTTTTGATATCTTTAAGATCTCTCAGCACCTTTCAGTTAATGCAGTACCACATTACTAACTATAATCCCTGTGCTACGTTTTCCACCCCCTGGCTTGCTTATTTTATGGCTGGGAAGCTTTTTCTTTTTTTTGCTCTTAAGCCACCTCCTCCCATTTTGGGTCCCCAGTAGACCCCACAGCTCCCCACTTCTTTGATAAAGGGTTTTCTGTGGTTTGGGTTTGTTGCTGTTTGTTTCTGCTGCTTTTTGTTCGTTTGCTGTTTTTACTCTGGGGCCACACCCTGCTGTGGTCAGGGCTTATTATGACTGTGCTCAGGGATCGCTCCTGATGCTGCTGCGGGACCACATGGGGTGCTGGGGCTAGAACCCGGGCCCACCCTGTGCAAGGCAAGTGCTTAACCCTCTGTACTGTCTCTCCAGCTTGCCAGTTTCATTCTGCATTATGACTAAGCGTTATCCTGTTGTGAGTATATGCGGCAGCATCTTTTATTTATTTATTTATTTTTTCTTTTTTTGGGTCACACCCAGCGATGCACAGGAGTTACTCCTGGTTCATGCACTCAGGAATCACTCCTGGTGGTGCGCAGGGGACCATATGGGATGCTGGGAATCGAACCTGGGTCGGTTGTGAGCAAGGCAAACACCGTACGCACTGTGCTATTGCTCCAGCCCCCAACAGCCGCATCTTTATCGTTCACCCATTAATTGAACTTTGGTTGTTTCCTTATCCTGCTCTTGTGAACTAGGCTATGGTGAACATGAGGTTGGGTTTCTTTGGGGGTTAGTGTTTTTTTCCTTCAGATAACGTGGTCATTCTTGGCTTGTTGGGGGAACCGGAATCCTGTTTTCCACTGTAGCTACTATGCTCATACATGCCGATCCATATTCCCACCAACAGTGCAAAGGATTCCCTCTTTCCACACCCTCCCCCGAGCTTATTACCTGGCTTCCCATCACAGCCATTCTCACAAGTGTATTGTATGTTCAGTTAGGGTTTCTCTGACGGTTAGTCGTGTTGAAGACCTTTTCGTGGACCTGTTGGCCTTCTGTATGTCTTGGAAATTTTTTCTGTTTTTATCTTTACTTATTTTGCATTTTTTTTAAAATATTAATGAGGGGCTAGAGAGATAGCACAGCAGGTAGGGCGTTTGCCTTGCACGCGGCCGACCCGGGTTCAATTCCCAGCATCCCATATGGTCTCCTGAGCACCGCCAGGAGTAACCCCTGAGTGCAGAGCCAGGAGTAACCCCTATGCATCGCCAGATGTGACCCAAACAGCAACAATAACAACAAAAAAATTTATTAGTGAAACACCATGAGGTACAGTTGTAGACTTACAAATTTTTGTGCCTGGGTTTCAGTTATACAATGATCGAGTACCCATCCCTCCACCAGTGTCCATTCTCCACCACCACTAATCCCAGTATCCCTCCCACCCCCCCATGCCCCCATCCCACCAGTTCAGCTTAGTAAACTGAGTGAATGCAGGGGATCAGATGTGAGGCCTTCCTGTGCAGGCATACTCTACCCTGAAGCCACATCTCCGGCCAAACATGATTTTTTAAATGAAATTGTTTGAGTACCTTAGTGTTTTGGGTGTTAATCCCCAAATCACGTGTATGATTTGCAAGTAGATTTTCTGCATAAAGGTTGGCTTTTCATTTTGTTCACAGTTTCTTATTATTCTTACGGGTGTAACTAATAAATAAGCAGGGGAAAGTCCTGCTTAATATAAAGGCCACTTTTGCGGGAGTGTGATTTATCATCAAGTGAAGTCACTGCTAGTCTGAGCGAGGGATTGAGCGGTCCAGACCACTTGCACTCGGTAACTGGCAGGATGTGAGAATCTCCTCTCTTCCCTGAAGCACGGAGGTCATGCCTGTGTCGGTATGACTAGCAATTTTTATGAGAAGACTGTTTATTCATCTGTTAATCTTCTAGAAGAGGGAGATTGTAATACTTGGGTCCTTTTTAAAAATATATATTGGTGTTTTAAAATAATAATATCAAGGTCACTGGAGTGGTTCTGTGGCCTTGCTTTGCTCTCAGGACATGCATTTTCAAATATACAGGCTACCAGTTCATGAGCCGCTGGATATCTTTGCAAGGAAATCGGTGCTATCCAGAAATAAATGTCGGTGATATGCCAAGCAACGTTACTATTTAACAGTATTGTTTTTATTGTACATAACTGCTCAATTTCAGGTCATTGTATTACTCATTCTTTTCTGTCTGCGGGTTCAGTTGTCACTCCATTTTTAGGTCTATATCTGTATCGATATGCATTGTGCATTATGTCCTTTCTATAGGACTAGAATCAGGCATTCTTTTAAGGCATTATGCAAATTCACAGTCATATTCCATCACTCCTACCAAGTGATAGTGGGTCCTTCTTTGATTCAGTTGGTGTCAGATCCTTAGACAAAGTCGCAACTTTCAGTTGCCTTTGTAGAAAGTGCACTCAAGTTTGGGTTAACCTCCTCTCTTTTTTTTAATTTTTGTTGTCTACTAAACAATAGGAAAATTCCCTTATGTTTGCACATTTTCTCAGCTTTTTTTTTTCCTCTGACCACATTGATTGTAGAGGGGAATTTTGTTTTGTTTTTCTTTAATGTTGTTTGCCTTTTATTTCATGAAGATAATTTTTTTAAATTGGAAGCTACTGGGAAAGCCTCCATGAATATAAGAAGTAATGGAGGGGCCAGAGTGATAGTACAGCAGGTAGGGCACTTGCCTTCCACACGGCTCACTGGGATTTAATCCCTAGCGCCCAATATGGTCTCCAGAGCCCTGCCAGAAGTGAGCCCTGTGTACAGAGCCAGGAGTAAGCCCAGAGTACTGGGTGTGGTCCCACACTCTCCCTGCAGCACAAAGAAGTAATTGAGTTCGTCTTCAGAGAGGGGTTACCCACCCCCACACCCTCTCCCCTTATTCGGGGAAGCTATATTGAAAAGGATTGGTTCAGCAGAATCACGTCTTGTTTTCTCTTGATCTATAGGGAGCTGAACGGAAAATCAGGGATGAAGAAAGAAAACAGAGCAAAAGAAAAGGCAAGTGTACTGACCCCAGCTCCCAGTTGAATGCCTGTAAGTAGAAACGTTCCCACGAAATGTTTCAGACCTTTTCTGTTCAGAATGGTGAATTGAATTTTCAAACAGAAGATTAAAAAGTAGACATTTTTTTTATGGAACCAAAGCCATAGTACAGGGGTAGGGTGCTTTCTCTGAGCTCAGGTTCGATCCCTGGCATCCCATAGAATGCTCTGAGCCCACCAGGAGTAAGCACTGAGCACTGCTAGGTATGTTCCCTTCCATCCCCCAAAAGTGGGACATTTTTAAAACCATATACAAAAATCAGACAGGTGATTAAAGCTAAGTCACTTTTTAGGGAACTACTGGGAAGGAATTTTGAGGGTTTGTTTTGGTTTATTTTGGAGTATGGGCCATTTTGGCTATTTTTTCTACTTTTTTTTTAACAGGAGCACATTCTCCTCCTTAGTTGTTACTGTTACTGTGTTTGGCATATCGAATACGTCACGGGGAGCTTGCCAGGCTCTCCTATGCGGGCAAGATACTCTCAGTAGCTTGCCGGGCTCTCCGAGAGGGGCAATTAGGTCTCATTTCACCTTTTAAGAAACACCCTTGAGAATTCAGGTGTGCTCATTCCAAATATGTTTTCGTTTTCTTTGGAGATTGTGCAGGCTGGAGTGATAGCACAGCGGGTAGGGCGTTTGTTTGCCTTGCAAGCGGCCAACAGGGCTGACCCGAGTTCGATTCCTCCACCCCGTTCGGAGAGCCCGGCAAGCTACCAAGAGTATCTCGCCTACACAGCAAAGCCTAGCAAGCTCCCTGTGACATACTCAATATGCCAAACACAGTAACAGTTGTCACAATGGAGACGTTACTGGGGCCGTTCGAGCAAATCGATGAACAACGGGAGGACAGTGACAGTGACAGGAGATTGTGTGGTATTCTAACATTATTAGCAGGATCCATAGAGCTTCTGTTTAGACCTTTTGTCAGGAAATCTCTTCTCCTTTTACAAAACGTGACCAGTGTTTATATTCGCAAAACCCTGTTCTCAACTAAAAGGAAGAGAAATGCTGCGCACAGAGTATGCCCATCAGCAGGCAGGGGTCGCTAGCATCTTCCCTTGTACCGGGTGCCTGGCTCAATCCTGTCTTGCTGGTGTCTGTGTGAACGAGCCACATCACTTCAGAGAATAGCTAAGCTAACTCACACGGCTCATCACTGAGCAGACCCTGTGGCACAGATGGAGTCTGGGGTTTAATAAATTCAAAATGGTCACGAGTGGGGTCAGAGTGAACAAGTGGGCAGGGCACTTGCCATGCATGCAGCCAACCTGGGTTTCAGTTCCTGGCATCTCATCCCTGGTGCCCTGAGCCCACCAAAAATGATCCCTGTGTGCAGAGTCAGGAATTAGCCCCATGCATGGCCAGGTGTGGTCCAAAAACAAAGGAAAAAATGGCCATTTTATCTTACATTGAACCTCTCAGAGGCTAAGTTTTGAAATTGAAGTTATGCGGGTAAGATACATGTATTGAAGCTGAAGGGGGTATATCACCACTAGGACATACAGATTTCTGATTATTATTTTTCGCTAGTTATTGGAGCCACTAAGGCCACTCCAGATGGTGCTGGGGACTGAATCCCAGGTCTCACACATGCAAGGCGTAGGCCCTTTCACCCGGGCCACATCCCTGGGCCCTAGAATGTAAATTCTTAAAATGATGCCTAAAGTGAAGTGTCTGCTAAATTATGTTTATGCAATTAGAAGTCTTTGCTTTTCAGAACTAAATGTGCTTTGCCTCAATTCCAAATCTTTTGTGCCATATATTTTTAAAGATATTGTTTCCCCTCCTTATTTTCATGAGATATGCAGTTGATTTTAGAATCTGGGGCCAAAGAGATAGTACAGTGAGTAAGTCTTTTGCCTTGCATGCAGCCAACCTGGGTTTGATTTCCAGCACCACATATAGGACTATCAGTCCTGCTAGGTGGGGTTCCCAAATGCAGAGCCAGGAGTCCACCCTGAGCACTGTCAGGTGTGTTCCCCAAAAGAAAATTTTTAATTGAAAAAAAAAAAAGATCAATTGCAGGCACTCCATTTTGGCATCACCTGCAACCCAGTTCTGGGGCTTAGTTTTTCTTCTTTCTCACTTTCCCTTCTCATATTCTAAGTATAACGACTTTGAGGTGCATATGCATATATAAATGTATATGTACAATGTACATATGTATGTTGCTATGATAAACTGCCATTTTCTCAGTTTTGGGTGCTTTTCTGAGCCCCTTTCCTCGCCCTGCAGTGTAAGCTTCTTATCCCTTTAGGAAAGTGCTCTATGACCCGCATTAACAAGCTGCTAACCATAAACAATTTTCCTTTTCAGTTCCCGATGTGAAGGTGCCACCACTTCTCTCCCACAAGCGAATGGACATCACCGTGTTCAAGCCTTTTATCGATCTCGACACTCAGCCCGTCCTCTTCATTCCCGACGTGCACTTCGCCAACCTCCAGCGGGGCACTCACGTAGGTAACCAGGATCTCGGGCTGGCTGAGAGGAAAAGACGTAGACAAGTGACAAAGAGAAAATCTTTGGCACCGTTCATAGTGAAAAAGCAGCAGCGTTGAGGTGTGACGGGACGTCCGCTCTCTGGCCCACGTGGCCGGGACGACATTGCCGTCCTTCCAGTAAAGTGTGTCCTTAAGCACCATTGACATGGGGCTGGAGCGATAGCACAGTGGGGAGGGCGTTTGCCTTGCGCACAGCTGACCCATATGGTCCCCCGAGCACTGCCAGGAGTGATTCCTGAGTGCAGAGCCAGGAGTAACCCCTGTGCATCGTGGTGGGGGGAGGGGGGGGGGATGCAAAAAGGGGGGAAAAAAGCATCGTTGACATGATGGTGCAGCAGCATACCTGCCTGCCTCATGGTCCTCCATTTATTTGTATCTTAACTCATTTCAGAGATCCCGCATTAGCCATGTGAATCGTAGTATGCATCTGTCACCCTGTGACCCTGCCTCCTGCTGGTCTGACCTGACCGCCAGGAGAGAGCCAGAGTGCCCTGGGTGGGTAGCCCGGACAGCAAAGGAGAGCAACAGAAGGCTCCCAGAGCCGGGGTGTCCATTTCTGACTCATCACCGGCACACACAGCTGTGTCTTGGCAACTGTTGGGCACTTTGTCAGGCATACCCAGCTGTTAGCAAGAGCCTTGCAGATAGGAACTAGAAATGCACAGAACAGGCTGCGCTCAAAGAAATCTCGAGAAGGCCATGGACTGTAAGCTTCGTAGGCAGCTCTGCACAAACTGATGGTTTCTCAGGGTCTTGGGGGAGCCAGGGCCAACGTAGTCCGTTTCTGATGAGAAGCTTTGGGATGAGAGGCTCAAAAATCTCTTTCTGCAAAGCACTAACGGATGATGCCATATGGTCAACGTTGTGACTGCCCAGCCCTGTGTTGAGGGGCCTGAGAACCATAAGCGATACGCCAGTGACTGAGGGGCTGAGTTGATAACACTGAGCAAGGGTGGGCGGGTTTACCACAGACGCAGCTCACCAGTCTCACTCAGAGAAGTCCGGGAGAGCTCCAGGAATCGGATGATTTAACAGCAGGAGGGATAGATAATAATGGTTTGAGCGCTTGCGTTGCCTGTGACTGACCTGGGTTCGATCCCCAGCATCCTCTGTGGCCCCCTGAGCTCCACCAGGAAAGATTCTTGAGTAAGCCCTGAGACAGAAATAATCTGGTTATTTAAAATTAAGATAAACAGATTTTTTTTATTAGATCAGTCAAATGCAAAATAATTCCCATTTTAGGAAATGATTCTTTTATGGTCCGAAACATCTTTGAACCGTGTACTTGAAAAGCAATGTGGTTTTTATGTGCATGTTGTTTTTTTATCCTCAGGTCCTTCCCATTGCCTCAGAAGAATTGGAGGGTGAAGGGTAAGAGTTTGATTTTTTTTTTTTAAGTAATCTTAAACTTACGGAGCAATCTTCTTCTGAGTCATTAGAGACTAATTTGCCAGTGGTCTTCCCACCTTTTCTAAGCATTTTCTGTCTGTTTCATACACTCAGTCATTTTCTCCTGCATAACTTCAGTCAGGGTCAGGACCGTAACTGTCCAGACATTTGCACCGGTTCTCATTCCCACTCATTTTTTCCATTGTTCCTGCAGTGTCTTTTATGCAAAAAAAAAAGGGGGGGGGGCACCGCCAGCTTACCTGATCTCACTGCCCGCTTCCATGATCTATTCAGTTATCCTGCCTTTTGACTTTCCTGATCGAAGACTTTCAAAATTTTGCAAACCAGCTTTGTGGCACATCCTTCAGTTGAGTTTCACTGTCTCGTGGTACTGCTCACATTGTCCGTGGCGGTCAGTGGAGTCCTTCGTCAGTCTTGCTCGGGTCCCCATTGACACAAACCTCCAAAGTGTCCGACCCCCAGCCCCGCCACATTCCTTCAGCACTCTCTAGCCTTGGGCACTGTGCAACCAGGAATCTTGTCTTTTCTTCTCTCTAGTCTCTTGAGGTGTGTGTGTGAGGGGGGGGGGGGGGGGCATCCACTTCCTTTGTGGAGGGAATGGGTTTTAGCATCCCAGCGATGACGCTCCTGCCCTCCTGCGGACTCCCCTCTCCCAGCCCTGCAGGCAGGCCGTCCCTGGGCTCTCGCTGGCCTCGTGCCATGTTTTCACATGAGTCCTGCCACCACTTTCTTTGGGAGGCTGCTCTGTGCTGGATGCAGGGGCAAACTACTTTCTGGCCACACCGCTAATTTTGTCGTGATTATTCTGCTCAGAAGTAAACAGTCTTCACAAAGTGCCAGTTTCCGTTTCCCCTTTGTATTGCACTGACCGGCCAGCCTTCGGCCCCCCTTAGACTCTGGCGCCGTGGGGTTGTCCAAGAGGCCTCCGCCTGGTCCCTCTGCTTCTAGACCCTCAGCCCCCTCCAGGCAGCCACGCTCTGGAGACAGCATCCTCAGCTGACAAAACCTTCAAAGGTTCCCCTGGTGCCTGCAGCAGAAAAATTAAAAATTCCCCAGAGACAAATGATGAAGATAAATTCTTCCTAGAGTCCCACCTTCCCAGTAAGGTCTGTCTCCTGTGAGTCCATCTCAGCTACCCTCCTTGGCACTCACACTCTCTCTCTCTCTCTCTCTCTCTCTCTCTCTCTCTCTCTCTCTCTTTCTCTCTTTCTTTCTCCCTCTCTCTCTCCCCCTCTCTCCTTCCTCCCCCTCTCTCTTCCTCTCACTTTCTCCTCTCTGTCTTCCATTTTACTCTCTCCTCTCGCTCTCCCGCTCTCCTTCTCTCTCTCTCCCTCTCTCTCCCTCCTTCTTTCTCCCTCTCTCTCCCTCCCTCTTTTTCCCCCTCTCTCTCCCTCTCCATCTCTCCCTCCTGTTCTCTCCTGTTCTCTCCTATTCTCTCCTGCGTTACTCCCTTCCCGCCTATCTCAGATCTTGCCTTCTCTAGAGAACTTCTCCCAGAAGGATGCTTCCTTCCTGAGAGGGAGCTCCAAGTCTCTGGGAGCCATGGAGGCTGGCCCGGGCATCTGGAGCGTCCCCAACTCTGCTGTCCCATGAAGAGCCTTAGTTCCGGCTCCGTCTTTCCCCAGACCTTAGGCTTGCCTCTGCCAGCCAGGAAGCTGGCCATTCCTGAAGCACTCTCTGGCCTCGGCCATCAGATAAAGAGAAAGGGTCATTCTGAATATAAGATTCAGTGGTACCCCCTAAACCTCCTTGTTCCTGCAAGGCATCGATGCCCACACCCCTAACTGTGTCCTTGGGTCCCCTGCAGGTCTAACTTGAAACGGGGACCTTATGGGTCTGAGGATGACTTTGCAATCCCGCCCCCGGCAAAGCTGACCCGGCTAGAAGAACCAAAGAGAGGTATGCTGAGGGGCGGGAGAGGGGGGAGGGGTTACATTAGAAGTGAATCCGGGGGCTAGAGACATAGTATAGTGGGTAGGGTGGTTTGCTTTGCACCCGCTGACCCGGGTTTGATCCCTGGCACCCCATTTGGTATCGTGAACCCACAGGGAATAATTCCTGAGCACAGAGCCAGGAGTGACCCCTGAGCCCTGCCAGGTATGGCCCAACCCACGCCCCCCACTGCTCCCAAAAATGAAGTAAGTCCTGGGACCAGAGCAGTATACTAGTGCAGCGGGAAGGGCATTTGCTTTGCACGCAGCTGACCCGTGTTCAATCCCCAGCATCCCATATGGTCCCCTGCGCACCGCCAGGAGTTAATTCCTGAGTGCAGAGCCAAGAGTAAGCCCTGAGCATTGCCAGGTATGACTCTAAAAGCCAAAATAAATAAACCAAAAAGTCTGAGGTATGTCCCGAATGTGTCTTAACTATAAGCTACTCCAATAAACCAATAAATCTTGTTCAAAGGAGAGAGCATGTCAGAGAGAGTGAATGTGTCCTTCTGGACACTCCAGGGGTATCCTTCTCATGGCCCCATCCTGCCCCGGGCCTGCCACAGAGAGGAAACTGCTGCCAGCCGCATGCCCCGGTCGGCTTCCTGTGGGCTGGCGTCCGCTGCCCCGGGTGCAGCTGACTTTCCATTTTACTCACCCACTACCCACGTGAGTCCTTCCTCCCTTTGCTCCTGAGTAAACTGCATCCCGTTTCCCTCCTTCTTCCTCTCTCCATGTTCCCGTCGGGGACTCAGTGCTGCTCTATGTCCGGAAGGAGTCTGAGGAAGTCTTCGATGCCCTGATGCTCAAGACTCCGTCCCTGAAAGGCCTGATGGAAGCTGTGAGTAGCCTGAACTTTCGCATCTTTTCCCGAAAGCAAAAGCGCGCCCACGCAGAATTCCACTGGGACAAATGCTCTCAGACCATCCAGATTCTGTCACTGGACGGGAATCTGTGAAACGTTTCCCATGTCCCCACGTGGAGGCTGGAGCCAGAGGGTGTTGGCTCGCACTGAGGGGATCATGGTGACTTGTGAAATAGTTTGTTTGTGGCAGGTCTGGTTAAAGAGAGTGCGGTTTACCAACAGTTAGCTCCGATCAAAATTTTAAAAAGGGCAGGATGTGGAGACAGCTCAAAGGGCTGGAGCACTAGCTCTGCATGCTCGGACCCTGGATCAGGCCCCCCTCCACATACCTCACGATCTGACAGTCTGGAGCCCCGTGCTGAGATCTGGCCAGCCGGAACCCCATGCTGAGAGCAACCGTGAGCAATGCTCTGCTGTGGTCACAAAATAAAACGGAAATGTTTTTTCATGGAAACAGTGGTTCCTTGGAAACTCCTGATCTGGGGATTGACTGGACTTGAGTCAAGTCCTTCCCCACAGTGTATTTGAGAAAAAACAACTTGAGTATAAATCCTTCTGGAGGATCTCAGCCCCTCAGGGCCCAGGACACTCTGAACCCTGTGCAGTCTAAGTGCAGGAGGAGGAGGCTGTGTTGATGCTCTAGTGCCTTTGGCCCGGTTGAAATTCAGGGACTCACCACCAACCCTCGACACCGACAAATGCAAGAGTAGAGCTCAGATCATGTGCAGTGCTGGGTTAGAAATCCTTTTTCCCTTGGCTTCCCTTAAAACAGCACTGTCTTAAATCCATTTTGCAAATGTTTGTTTAGCACCTGCGTGTGTGTGTGTGTGTGTGTGTGCGCGCGCGCATGCATGTGTGTGCTCTTGGTACTATTCTAGACATTGGATTAGAGTTAGTGTGATATAGTATCAAAGGGAGTGAGGGTTCCTGTTGGGAAGACAGAAATAATAAAATAAGCGAAGAAATGAATATGTCATTTCCCAGGTACTGATAAATGCGGTGAAAAATTAAAATTTAAAAATAGGGTACCAGCGCAGTAGAACAGCAGGTAGGCTGTTTACCTTGCACACAGCTGACCTGGGTTTAATCTGCAGCATCCCCTATGGTCCCCTGAGCCCTTCCAGGAGCAATTCCCGAGTGCAGTAATTCACCTGAGCACCATCAGGTGTGGACCCAATGCATCAATCAGTCAGTCACTGTCCCTGTCATCCCGTTGTTCATCGATTTACTCGAGTGGGTGCCAATGACGTCTACCATTCATCCCAGCCCTGAGATTTTTAACAGCCTCTCCTTACTTGTCTTTCCCAACGCTGCCATATTGGAGGCTCTTTCAGGATCAGGGGAATGAGACCCGTTATTGTTACTGTTTTTGGCACATCGAATATGCCATGGGTAGCTTGCCAGGCTCTGCCGTGCAGGCGGGATAACTCTCGGTAGCTTTTCGGGCTCTCCAAGATATATATATATATATATATATATATATATATATCGTCGATTTGCTCGAGCGGGCCCAGTAACGTCTCCATTGGAGACTTTGTTGTTACTGTGTCTGGCATATCAGATACTCTCGGTAGCTTGCTGGGCTCTCCGAGAGGGGCGGAGGAATCGAACTCGGGTCGGCCATGTTGGCCGCTTGTAAGGTGAACGCCCTACCCGCTGTGCTATCGCTCCAGCCCCTATATATATATATATATATGAAATATATATATATTTCCCTCTATGATTTGTTGCCTACTGCCTGAACCCCATCAAATGAAATGTGGTGTGATAATTATGGAAAACGTGTAGGGAGTGTCTTACTATGTGTCCAGGAATATGTTCACTCATACCTGAGGCTTGACCCGAGCGTGTGGAAAGCAGCCTGGAGTGTGGGTAGTGGTTGGGTAGTGGAGGTCCCTTGGGGCAGGGAGGGCTCTCACCCGTCCGCCTCTGGGGCGCCCCGAGTGGGTTTTTTCCATTCTGAAGAAGCCCGTATTCTCTCTTGAAAGTCTATTTCTTTCAGTAAAAGCTATGCAGGGCCAGAGCAATAGCACAGAGGTTAAGGATTTGCCTTGCAAGTGGCCAGCCTGGGTTCAGTCCTTGGCACCACATATGGTCCCACGAGCCCCGCCAGGACTGGTTCCTGAGTGCAGAGCCAGGAGTTAGCCCTGAGCACTGCTGGGTGTGGGCCAAAACCTAAACAAGCAAGAACCTACTTCGCTTCCAAAAAACGTTAAAGAAAGCAGAGGGAGGGGACAGCAGCTGGGCAGGCTCCCCGTCCCACCTGTGCCCACCCTGCCTGTCACTTCCTGCCTCCTGTCGCTTCCTTTCCTGACCTCCCCAGCCAGTCCTCATCCTCATGGGAGAAGCAGCTGATCCTTGATTATAGTGAAAAAAAGAGAGTGTGAAAAAGCTTGAGACCTACGGTGCCAAATGCAGCTGCTCACAACTCCTTGGGGATTCAGCGCAGTTACAAGTCTTGGCACTCTTGGGGCCGGGATTTCATCCGTGGTTTCATGGCCCGCGGATGCAGGGAAGAGACGGATCAGTCTGTGACCCGGGAGCTCAGGCTTGGTCTCACTCGGGAGGTCCCGCTCCCCGAGCTGCCTCAAGCTCTGCGTGGCACATTGGCCCCGAGTATGGGAGTGGTCTAGGTGGCGCGTCCCAACAAGGCGTTTTATCGCAACGGACTCGGCTGCTTATCCTCTGAGTAGTTCATTCTCTGTATTTACCACATTGGCACTGACCCTGAAATTCGTGTTCATTAAGCCACAATCAAGTGTGAGCCAACAGTGGTCCGTGCTGGTGCTACTGTCATCAAGAGACCCCTCCCAGGAAGTCAGAGACCCTGAGTGCCCCCCCCACCCCACGAACTCCATGTCGTCTGCTCCCTGTGCAGGAGAGAGGCGGGGAGAGGCCCAAGGGTGCAGGGTCCAGGGGAACCTGGGCGGCGCCGGCTGCTCTTGGCAGAGCTTAACTCTTGGCAGGGGATCACTGACTTGATATTTTTGCCAGGCTCTGGGATATTAAAGCATTTTTCCTTCTAATAACTCGGCATCAGAAATGGACTGCTGCTCTTCCTGCCTCCCGCGAGCCGGTGGGACTCGCGGTGCTGGCCTGGGTGGCTGAGGGCAGAAAAGGCACCTGTTAGGATTGGAAGCAAGTTAGAACCAATTCCACCTGCACATCCCGGGACTCAGGGCTCCCGGAAGGGGCCTCACATCCCCTGGGGCCTCGAATCCCTGTTGCAGTATCTGCGCGTGGCCCACACCAACATGAACTGTGTCCAGACAAGAAATGGGTGGTGGGGTGGGCAGCTGAACTCCTACCCAGTTTTTCTTCATATATGTAAAGTATTGGTTTTCTTGGGGGGTTTTTTTTTTTGCTTTTTGGGTAACACCTGGAGATGCATAAGGGTTACTCCTGGCTCTGCACTCAGGAATTACTCCTGGTGGTGCTCAGGGAACCATATGGGATGCTGGGAATCAAACCCGGGTCGGCCGCGTGCAAGGCAAATGCCCAACCTGCTGTGCTATCGCTCCAGCCCCAAGTGTTGATATTTAAATCTGTAAGATCCTGACTCCAGTTCCTTTCAAAGATGGGTGACCCGCCCCCCAACCCCCACTCCGCCCCTGGGTTTTGGATGGGGCGTTAGAGCAGTCTTTGTGATTATGAAAAACAGAAGGTTGTGTAACTAGACCTCCACAAACACACACACATACGCGCGCGCGCACACACACACACACACACACAGATTTGCAGCTCTATAAGAAGCATCTTGAAATTATTTTTCTTTGCTCTTTCAGATATCGGACAAATACGATGTCCCCCATGAGAAGATTGGGAAGATATTCAAGAAATGTAAAAAAGGGTGAGCACTGAATGGCATTCCTAGTTTTAAAAAAAAAAATTGGGACCGGGGCCCAGAGGAGAAAGCTCAGAGGGCTGGAGCACAGGCTTTGCATGTGGGAGCCCGAGGTTCAAGCCCCGGCACCTCCCAGTCCCCAAATGCTAGGCTAGCAGCAGCCCCAATATACCGTTTGCTGCGTGTGGCCAAGCCAGACCAGCTCAGTGTTCCTTCCGGCGGAGGCTGCTGGGCACCAGGTAGCGTGCGGGGCTCGCGGTGCCCGGGAGGTGCCCAGCGCCTTGCTCATCATCTGCCCCTGGAGCCACGACCCCAGCTCAGGTGGCATCACATCTTGGACCTGAAGGATAGCGTCTATCAGGCCCCAGAGCCCGTAGCAGGAGAGGCTCTGCTCACAGTCCCTGTGCCACAGGCCCGTGTCAGGGCTGACTGGTGGGCAGCTTGGGCAGAGCTAGCCAAAGGCCTGGGCCCTTCTGTTGTGGCTTTGTTCTCAGTCTTAGCACCTTGCCTTTCTGTGGGAATTATGTTTTGCCTTCTTTTTTTCTTTTTTTTGCTTTTGCTTTTGCTTTTTGGGTCACATCCAGTGATACTCAGGGGCTACTCCTGGCTCTGTACTCAGGAATTATTCCTGGCGATGTGCAGGAGACCATATGAGATGCCGGGGATCGAACCCAGGTCGGCCGCGTGCAAGGCAAACGCCCTGCACGCTGTACTATCACTCTGGCCCCGATGTTTTGCCTTCTACCTTACCTAAGTGTCTGTGCTGTTTGTCCTGGTCATAGCATAAGAATTTGGGGGCTTAATTTTAGAGCCGAAACCAAGGAGCTGGAATTTTTTTTTTGGTATAGGCTTAGTAGGAAGGATGGGTCTTAATTTAAAAAAACAAAACAATCAAACTCTGGGCTAAAGTTATAGTACAGTGGGGAGTGTACTTCCCTTGCCCACAGCTGATCTGGGTTCGATCCCCGGCATCCCCTGTGATAACCCTGGGCACCCCCAGGAGTAATTCCTGAGCATAGATTCAGGCGTTAGCTCTGAGCATTGCAGGTGGGACCCAGAAAGGAAAAGAGAAAAGAAAAAGAAAATCTGACGGTAACCTGACAGAGAAGATAGTTTGTTAAGGATCCTTGGTTGGGACCTGTGACTTCAGACCACATAGACACCTTTGGTTCGTCTCAGTAGCTACCACTTTATGGAGTGGTCACTGCCCGCTGCCATGAGAATAAACAAGCCAGTGTGCCTGGCATCTGTTTTCCCCGAAGCTGCCATCAGTACTTTACTTGTAGCCGTCACTAAATGCACGCAGCGATCTTTTGGGCTCTGTTGTTATGCTGTTTCATGAATGAGCCCATCGGGATCGAGGGAGGTGGACACAGTTTGCCCATCATGTCCCAGCTAGTGTGTGGTTGAGCTCTGGGCTGCCTCCCGGGCCTGCGAGAATGAGCAGCCCCGTCTGGTCTGTCCCACAGGATCCTGGTGAACATGGATGACAACATCGTGAAACACTACTCCAACGAGGACACCTTCCAGCTGCAGATCGAAGAGGCTGGGGGCTCGTACAAACTCACCCTCACCGAGATCTAAGGGCCCGCAGCCCACACCTCCCAGTGAGAGAAGCGAAGACGCTCCGTGGGCTGACTGCAAAGCTGCAGGAGCCCTGGGCCACCACCGCCGTCCGAGAACCATGCAGGCGACGTCTGCGGGCGGGGCTCATTTGGAGCTGAACACGGCACTACACTTGGCTTGGCGATGGCATGAACTGTATCGCATTGGCGCTTTTCCATGAACCAAGAAACCCGTCTACCATGACGTTTGAATTTTCTGCTCTAAGTACTTAGGATTGAAAGTGAACGCTTGGCTCCTAGATTGACTAGGCTGGGAAACTCTAGACTCCCCGCTGCGTCATTTATAACAGTCTGAGGCTCTCGACCTTGCCTCCTCCGCATCGGTGGGCCTGTTCACTGGGGCAGGCATGAGAAAGCCATAGGCCCAGCTTCCAGGCTGCGTGACCTTCCCTGAACCCCATGCACCTGACCGCCTTGGGGCAGCGGGAGCAGCAACCGAAGAGACAGGGTGGGCCCTGACCTGTCTCCCTTAGTCTCTCATCCCCCAAGAAATGTTTACTCAAATAGGGCACGTTACTGAAATCTTGCTTGTAACTTCCTTGATCGCCTGCCTTTCTTATGAAGAACTTCAGTGGGTTACAGTATGCATCAGTTAAGCTAAAGCTGCATTGTATATACGTGCAATACATTTTTGAACGCTTGTGACTGTAAATGTGTACATACATGTCTTATATAAATATATAATATATAAATATAGTACCTGTGTACATAGAGCGAAGAGATGCAATAAGGTGTACCTTAGAGACTTTTCTTCAATGAAAGGTTAAGTTATTTTTGATAACATAGAACAAGCAGAGAGTACGTTTAGGGGAGCCCACTGAAACGGTTTTCACCACATTTTCCCAAACATGGCAGCCAATCCATAGCATAGCAAAACCATCTCAAAACACAGGGATTCTGTTGGCTCTAGAGTGTCATTACGTGGATTTCTGCACTGCTCACCCAGTGCATTTAAGGAAAAAAACACAAGTGCAGCTAACACTTGTTGTATGTAGTAGTGTCCATCCGAGGTGGCGACCCACTGAGGAGCTACATGCCGGGATTCTGTGTTACCAGGTGATACAACTCAGGATAGAGCCCTTCCCGCCCTTCCCATTAAAAGAAAAGATTTCTGTGTCAGCCTGGGGCAGTCTTAAGACTTTGATTGTGTCTATGCCATCCATTCTAGAGAGCATGTCGTATGCCATCCATCCAATTTATGAGACTTTATTATAGGGGAACATTTTGTACACATGTTTAAATATATTGAAATATGAAAAAATGTAATTTTTTAGCAAAATCACGGGTATATCTAGGTTCAGGGAATTAGACTAGGTCATTTGTATAAGTAGGATGCATAGTTACATTCTTACAATATGCTAATGAAGTATGAGCTAAATTGCTGGTTTTCTAAGATAAGATATATCATGGGACACGGGTCATATAACACTATTTTATATTTTGTTTTATGAAATTGATTTCATCTTGTTTTTAATTGTACCATTGAAAATGTATTTTAAACCAAAGGGATTAAATTTTATATGTCTATTTCATAATATATCATTTCCTGTTATTCGGTTTGACCTTGTCCTCTCTTGAGCAGAGTTTGAGGTCTTAAAAAGCACTAAGCATTACCGTAGACTTCACTCCTTATTTTCCAGCATGTGCACTCAGATTGCTTTCTTTATAATTTCCCCAAAACGTTGCTAACTAAAGGATCCCTGAATCATTTCTCAATTAATCACTAAAGTTTAATTACTAAAGCGGACAGTGAATGTTTCTGACAGGAAATGTTAGTGTCAGTGGTTTTGAAGAGTGACTCTTGGGGCTGGAGCGATAACACAGCGGGTAGGGCGTTCGCCTTGCAAGCAGCCAACACGGGTTTGATTTCCAGCATCCCATATGGTCCCTTCTGCACTGCCAGGAGTAATCCCTGAGTGCAGAGGCAGGAGTAACCCCTGTGCATTGCCAGGTGTGACCCCCCCCCAAAAAAAAAAGAGTGACTCTTTGGACCGTTTCTGCGGTACCACTTCGGAATACCTGAAGGAAGTAGTCTCTCCCGAGTGTAGCTGGACTGTCCAGGCCCAGCCGAGCTGGACACGCAAATCCCCTCCCGCCAGGTTTGTGAAGTGGCTCCCTGCTCCAGCTCCAAGGCAGAGTGCCTTCTCCACTCCCGTCTTTGGACCTGCAGTGGGTAAGGAATCTTCAACCCTCTGTGCTCCTCAGCAACCATCGCCTCATCTCCCATTTTAGGGTCCCCCGGCTCAGAAGAGACACAAGCACATTCCACTCCAAACCTCACATTTCTCTCCTTGGTCACAGGCTGATTCTACTGACATGGTGCTTTACTGAGAGGATCGGTGTCCCAATTGCTGAGTCAGCAAGAGCCTTTTTTTCTTTTTGGGTCACACCCAGCGATGCACAGGGGTTACTCCTGGCTCATGCGCTCAGAAATTACTCCTGGCGGTGCTCGGCAGACTATATGGGATGCTGTGAATTGAACCCGGGTCAGCCGTGTGCAAGACATACACTCTACCCGCTGTGCTATCGCTCCACCCCCAGCAAGAGCCTTTTTTTTTTTAATAATTTGGACTTTATCATCGGCATGTTGAGTTATAGAAGGTTCTGGAATGCACATGTCAGGCGTTCTTTGAAGGGGTTAGACAGCAAAGGAGCTGTATCTCTTTCCTGAGAAGCTTATAAAATCCTGGGATGTGATGTCCCCAGCCATGCAGCATCTTTCTTGCACCTCTGGGGCCTCACCCTAAGGCTCGCTCTCCTGTGTGGTCTCGGGATGCTGCCGACACTTCCTTGTGTCTCCTGGCATCATCCAAAGAGAGAAATACAATAGGCATAAAAGAGAGCCCGTTTCCTCGCACAAGTTGAGCCCTCACTGCAGCACCGAGATGTAGCTGCCGCCCTTTGACCTGAAGTCTCACGCTGAACCGGGGGCCTCTGGCACGCAGGGGGACGTGGCCCTCTGCTCCTGTGGGCCCTCCTGATGCCTGGCCTGGCTCTCCATTACACAGTGGCCCGTGGGCTCAGAGGCTGTGTTCAGTGCCAGACGAAGGACAGGGGTTCTGGATGGGGTGTTCGGGACCCCTAGGTCCGCTGCCCGCCCAGGATATGGGCCTGCCTGTACTCTGTCGTTCCCCAATCCCCAAGCTGCATTCTCCCCCGTTCTCGTTCTCACATGCCATGTTCCCGCCCCCCAGTCCCTGGGCGGTGGGTCCCCATCCGGCAGCCGCACGGGGCGGGCGGCTGCAGGCACAGATGGCCCCGTTTCCCGGAGCCCGCACGGAGCACTGCGAGTGTGATAAGAGTGAGCAAACATCCTGCAGTCTGCTCAGGCCGGAGCCAGGGTCCAGAGGACAGAAGTCTCCTGGGGACAGCCACCCCTGCCACCACCACCACCACCCACCTGCCCCCGCCCGCCACTGCAGGAAGGGACTCCAGGGAGAAGGGGCTTGCCCACCGTCCACCTCCATGAGCTAGGGGGCTTCAAGCGTTTCTCAGATGCAAGCTGAGGCCGGGGTCTATCATACAGAGGCCAGGGCCAGCTTGTCTGGGTCCTGCCTGAGTGCACAGCCTTGGCCCTACTGCTGGGAGCTCACTCCCTGCATTCTTTTGACTCCTCCAAGCTCTGCCTGAGGCACCATCAGCTAAATGCCCCCCTTATCAGAACCAGCACTTGCTCAGCCCCTGGCTGCCCGCAGCTGAGAGGGGGCTGCGGGGGCACCAGATGGCAGCTGTATCCCGATGACTCTCCAGTGGGGAGTTGGCTCAGAGCATCCGCCTTGCTCTGAGGTATGAGTCCTCCACTCGATCCCTGGTGCTGCCCGCATGCACCAAGAATAGACCCAGCAGCACCCTTGAGGGCACAGAGGGTCCTGTGCACACTCAGGTGGGCGCAAACACTGAAGTCTGCCTCCTGGGCATCGGCGTGACAGCCGGAAAGGGAAGGATGCCAACTCGTCTCTGATGGCAGGAAGCCCGGTGGCTGCTGGGCTGGGTACCGGGAACTGGTACCCATCTGGGGGTGCTGGAGATGCTGGTTTTCTGGATCCTGGGGATGGGGGGCAGTGCCACGATGTCCACATTCTAAGTGTGCTGGATGGTAGATAACTCACACCGCAGTCCAGTTGGTTTTTTTGTTTTGTTTTGTTTTGTTTGCTTTTTGGGTCACACCCGGTGATGCACGGGGGTTACTCCTGGTTCATGCACTCAGGAATTACTCCTGACAGTGCTCGGGGGAACCATATGGGATGCTGGGAATCGAACCTGGGTCAGCTGCGTGCAAGGCAAATATCCTACCCGCTGTGCTATTGCTCAAGCCCCGCAGCTGCTTTGTATTTACATGAACAAAAGGACCCGAATTTTTTTTTTAATTTTTTAATAGTGAGGCACCATGAGGTACAGTTGTAGACTTACACATTTTTGTGCTTGGGTTTCGATTATACAATGATCAAACACCCATCCCTCCACCAGTGCGCATTTCCCACCACCTCGGATCCCAGCATCCCCTCCCCCCCTCCAGCCCCTATCCCACCCTGCTTCTGTGGCAGGGCATTTCCCTCTCTCTCCTTTTGAGTGCCATGGTCGGCAAAAGAGGCATTGAGTGGCAATCATGCTTGGTCGACAGGAACCCGAATTTTCTACTGAAACAATTGTGCCCCTCCTCCAGCCCACTTGCACTCTGAGTTCACCCCACTGTGGACACCCTAAATCAGATGCTGGCCTCCTCTGCCTGCAGCTCCCGGCCTCCCCCTCCTGGCCCAAGAGCCACCGTCACCCTCACGGTGGGCTCACCATCCCCTTGCCCTAGCCAGCCCCACCTGCCCCTTCCAACTGCCCCCCAGCTGAGTCTCAGCTCACCCATCCGTCCCCCCCCGCCACCCACCCCTCAAGAGACCTCACTGCTGCCGCCTTATCCAGGCCCAACCCCCGGCCCCGGCGCTAGAATCAGGCTGGCAGGAGCAAAGGGTTCTAGGAGGCCACAGGGCAGGGCTGGGCTGGAGCCTGGCTTCGTGTCTGCTTTGACAGGCACAGAGAGGCTGAGCG